AGTAAGGAATAATAAACTTAATTTTAATAGAATATTAAAGTGATAAAATGAAATTTAAGAATACTTAGACTTAAATGTATTGAAATTTAATTTTGTTTGATTTTATTAATACTTAACTTATTGGAGGTTATTTATAAATATTTAAGGTTTTTTAAGTGCTTTAGTTTTGTAAAAATTTTAGATTTTTGAGTTATGATTATTACTTATATCTTTTATTTATTGGGAGATATGTTTCTTAGTAAGAGTTTTATTTATATTACATTTACAATGGTACTAATTTGTATAGTGTTTTTTTTAATGTAGAATATTGATTAGATTGTTTTATATTTTTTGTGGGCTTTGACAAATATTTATTTATATGGTTAGGCTTTTCTATATTTGAAATATATTTTGATGGTTTTTGTTATTTTTTTAAGAGTTTTTGATTTAGAATTTGAAGAGTGTTTGGAGGAAATAAATTTCAGGGTTTTTTTGGATATGGTTGAGTTCTATTTTTAATGTTAGTAAGGACTACTTTTGGTACGTTATTTTGATTTTGTGTTTGATTATGGGGAGGGTCTCTTGTTAGATGTGTAAGCGTGAGACTGGCATTAGGGCTTTTTGTCTAATGAGTCTAATATCACTAATGTCTAATTTGTCTAATGAGTATGTTAGGGAGGAGGTGTTATTTTAAGTCCTATAAAATACACTGAGAATTAGTTAAAATCATGGAAGAAACATTATGGTAATTAAAGGGTGTTATGTTTCTTTCATTTATAAGTTTCAGTTATAAATATTTTTTAATAACTGCTTGACATAAGGTGAACTTAATCTACTTTTTCTGCCCCAGAACGCATCAGGCACATCCGCATCAATGGCACGACCTCTGCTCACTGCTTTTGTTTCACCCAACCAAAATCAACAGCAAAAGTTGGTTGGGCTTTAAGAACTTGAAATAACTTTGAAGCAAAATAAATCACATTTTTCTCCTGTGTTTTTTTCCTTTCAGATGCTGTACTTACCTCTGCAGACAGGCACTGAGGAACCTGTCAGGCCTCATTGGCTGTGAGTTCATATTCTTCCCACTAGGGAATTGGAAATAATTGTTGCTTAATTGCAGAAAGGTTTTCTGGAGCCTTTCCCCTTCTGTGCCCCACTGTGTGGGACAAGGGCAGAGGAGCAGCCTCGGGCTGGAAAGGGGCAGGAGAAAGGCAAAGGGACCTCCCTAGTGTCACCAGGACACTGTGGGGAACAGAATGGACACTGTGTGGGCAAGGGGAGGTGAGGAGTGACAGTGTGGGGCAAAATCTGAGTTTGTTGGCAGGGAAATAAGTAAGGGATATTTTGGAGGGGAAAGCTGAGGTAATGAGTTCATCCAGCCTGGCCAAGTTGTGTTTGCACAAAGTGGCACCAGAGGTGAAGGTCAATTCAGAGCCAACCCTGCTCAACCTCTTAAGTTCCAGAATAAATTTTACAAGCTGCCCATTGAGGGACTAAAAATACATAAAAACAGAACCAAGAGCATTCCAAGAGCAAACCAGAAGGTTCCTGGGAATCCCATTACAGTGTTGTCATAGCCTTTTTAACAGAGCTCTTAAGTTTTTTATTTACAATGCTGCATTTCTCTGCTGGGATCATTCACGCTGTGGGCTGTGGGGTTTTTTTGGGTTTGAACTCCCTCACGGTGGCTCTGGCACTGTTCAGGAGCTGGAGGAAAAGCAGAGTCAGCACTCCTGGCAGGGGCAGGGAGTTTTCCCCAGAGCAGAAGCAGCTGCCCTCCAGCCCAGCCAGGAGGGATGTGCTTTGGCTCCTGGCTCCTGCAGGGACAGAACGTGTTCAGCTGATCCAGGTGACATTCCAGCAGCCTCATCTCCCATCCAGCCTGGCCAGGAGGGATGTGCTTTGGTTCCTGGCTCCTGCAGGGACAGAACATGTTCAGCTGCTCCAGGTGATATTCCAGCAGCCTCATCTCCCATCCGCACACCCACCTCTCCTGCTCTCAGCTCCCACCCCACCAGCTGTGCCGAGGGGAATTTGTCCCACCAGCAGCAGGGGAAGGACACGGGGTCCCACCCTGGCACTTGGATTGTCCCTCTGGGGGATGCTGGCTGCTGGGATTTAGATCATTCCATACATTTGGCTGCTGAAATTTCCCAGCCCAGGGGCTTTAGCACAAAGATTGTTCTTTGTATGGTGCCTGGATTTGGGGTTCAGTATCAGCTTTGCTAGTTCAGATGAATTATACCTACAGCCACAAATTCCCTGCTGAATGCTGGAATAACCTGACGGTGCCTGGTGGAGAGTGGAAATTCCCATGCAGAGCTGCCACTTTAACACCAGCTGAGTCAGGAACCAGCAGAGGTTCCCGGGAAGCTCAGTGGGACAAGGACCGGTCTCTATTCTATAGAACTTGCTATTTAAAACCCTCATCCCCCAGCCCTAGGGATGTGTCTGGGGTCACTTGACAGAGTTCCCTGGAATTCAACTGATTTCACTCCCCGGAGCTCAGGCTCCAGTTGATGTTTTAAAGCAGGACAAGGCAGTGGCTGGATGAGCTCCCGGCCTGTGCTGAGGCAGAACATCTCTCCTGCAGAAGCTCAGCTCCTTTCAGAGCAGTGGCCTCTGCATGTCCTTTTCCCTCAGGAAAGAGATGCACATCCCTGCCTTCAGCACACCTGCAGTGGGACCTACCTGTGAAAGCCTTCCATTGCTTCTGCACTTCCAGCTGGCTCCCTGAAAATTTTCAAATGTCATTCCACTCGAACCTCTGATTTTAAGGCATCTCCGAGGCCTATTGCTTGGCATTTAGTATCTATGAGGGAAGATTGCCTTGGCTTAAATGCTGCTGGTGGATGTTGGCCTCAGGCTGGAAAAGAGGGAAGAGATTTGGGGTGGCTGGGACATACCTGGCAGCTGTGTGGGAGCTCAGGGAGGTCAGAAACAGGAATTGCTGTCAGAGCCCCTCTGCAAACAGCCGTGCCTCCATTCCCAGGTAATGCCAGCTGTTCCCTGTGGTCCCTCTGGGCTGTCGATGGTGTCTGTCCGGGATGAAACATCCCTGCATGCCTGTTCAGAGCAGTCCCTGGCTGAGGAGCCACAGGCAGCCCTTTAGCCGTGTCTGTGCCTGCGCTGTCTGGTGCCCCAGTACCCATGCCGGGACGTGCGTTCGGCACGCCGCGAGCCACGGGCAGGGCACGGCAGCTCCTGCCCTGCAGAGTCAAAGACAGGATGTGCTCTCTGCCTTTCGGGGGCTCCGGGCTCCTCCAGTCCCGCACCGGGCACGGTCGCAGAGGGAGCAGCGGCCCCAGCGCTGCAGCCCCGCCCGTTCGGCGGGTGTCCCCCGGAGATGGGACACGGGGGAGGGGGAGGCGGGCGCTGCTGCTCGCAGGGGAGCGCGGTGGCCACGGGGCTACCGGGGCGGGGTGGGTTCGGCATCCCGCGGAGGCTGCGGGGCGGTTCCGTGTCCGCCCGCGGGGCCGGAGGCGGCGATGCGGGAGTGGCGGTGCCGATGGGGTCCAGGCACCGGCACAGCCCCGGCTCCCAGCGGCCACAGCGAGAACGGGACCCGAGCCCCACGCCGGCCGCAGGCGGAGCGGCAGCGCCCGTCCCGATGCCGCAACCGATCCCAGCCCCGAACTTCTGGCCCTGCCACCCACACCTGCCCGCCAAGGAAGAAGCGGCTCTGCCCGGCTCCTACAGCAGGCACCGGCAGGGCCAGGACCCAGATCCCGATCCCACCTAAGCGCCACGGGCACCGCGCAGCGCCGGGAGCAGCCCCGATCCGGATCTCCGCTCCGGCGGTCCGAGCGCCGGTCCCGCCGCAGCCCGGGCCGAGCATGCCCCGCAGAAGGCGGGGTGGGCGCGGATCCGCCGCATTTACGGGCGGGGGGCGGGGCCCGCACAGGTGTGAGCACAGGTGTGAGCACAGGTGTGAGCACAGGTGTGAGCACAGGTGTGCACAGATGCGTGGGGCCCCAGCGCGGCTGCGCGGGGCGGGACCGTGGGGGATTTAAGCCGCGGGGAGAGCCAGGTGCAGCTATTTGCTGCTCGGCGCTCGGTGCTGGAGTCTGCGGCCAGCTGGGTCCTGTATTTCTTTTTCTCTATAGCTCTCTTATTCACCCTTCCTTCCTTCCCCTCACCAAACCCCCCGCCCCCCTCTCCCCTTTAGCCCTCCCCTCTCTCCCGGGCGGTCCACCTTTACACCCCCTTCCCTGTCCTCCCTCTCTATTCCCCTACTCACCCCAACCCTACCCTATCCCTCCATCCTATCCCTCTTCCTTCCCTCCCCAACTGGGCTTCCCCGTGCCCCCTCTCCCTGCTCCCCTTTCCCCCACCCCGGCTCCTCCTGCCGCCTTTCCATGATACCTTCTGCCCTCCACACGTTCCGCCTCCTTCCCCAAACCTGCTTTCAGTCCTTCTTTCCTCCACCCTGCCTTCCCCCCAGCCCCCTCCCCGGCTGTCCTGCACACCCCGACCTCTCCCCACCTGCCCCCTGTCCGTGTCCCCTTCCCCTCGACTGCCGCTCTGCTCCCCTATTCTCGTTCCCCATTCCCTGCTCTCCTTCTTTCCCCGCAGCCGCGGGGCTCGGGGCGCTGGAGAATAAAGCCCAGAGGGCCGGAGCCCGGCGCCCCCCGCCCTCGCTGGGGTCCCCAGACGGGGCCGGACCCACTCTCCGTGTCCCCCCATTCTGGTCCAACACATCGCCCGACACTGCCGGGGCTCCAGCTTTCCCAACATCAGAGTGGGAGTAACATAAGTGTCCGGCAAGAAGCGAGGATTGCATTTTCAGGGCTGCTCCTACATCTCTGCCATACATTAACACTCATTGCCACGAGGTGTTTTCAGTCCCAAGGCAGTTCTTGAGCTGGGATCCCAGAGTGATTGGCACAAGCACCAGTTGTGCAATTCTCTTTCAGAGGGCGCTGCAGTACTGTGAAGCAAAGTAGTGGGTCAGAGTTCTGAGCTGGTTTAAAAGGCACCACTGACATGGCTGACAGAACAAACTCCTCGGAGTATTTCTGGTCTTACGAATATTACTGGGATTACAAAGATCCAATCCCAGTAGATGGAAGCAAGTTGAAGGTTAATAAATGTAAGTATTGTGGAGTAGTAGGTGCTAATCTTGCACAGGGAAAATGTTGCATACCTTGTCTCACTGACCTGGTTTTATTTCCTTGCAATAGAGTCTATGCCAGTTGCCTGGTTTGTGTGAATGGGTGTTTGCCTTCAGGCTGGAAAATTACGAACAAACACTCTGGGCTTTATCTTGCAGTATTTGCAGCTATAAGACTGCTGACACTAATTCTTGTTTACGAGGACAGATTTTTTTTTTTAGTCATTTGCTAATGACTTGCGAATCTGTAGTGTGGGGTGCTAGTTACCTGTGTACTGCTGTCACCAAAGTTCACTGAAAGAGCAGAGGTTTTCATAAAAATACTGTGTTTTCATCTTGGGACAAGGCTGACATTGCAACTGGTAAACATTCAGACTTTTAGTAAAGGAAATGTGTATTTCCACTAGACAGGAACAATAAGCTGCAAGCATATTCTTTGTCCTTTCCTCCTTTGATTTAGTGCTGCTGAACTAATAAAGTAATAGTGTCCATTATTGTGCAAATGCTTTGCTGCTGTGGAAACTGATTCTGCTGAGCTTTGCAGTTTATTTCCAAAGGACATGAAGTAGCATTCACCTATCTTGCCTTGCCATTGCTCCTTCCATTTCACACCTTGCTTTGCACAGTGAAACAGCAGTATCTTTTTATGGCTACTTGTATTGTCAAATGATTTTGGTTTTTCTAATGTAACTGTTCTGGTTAGGTTTTGCTAAAATTAAATGACAAGCTGCGTCCCAGCAGATTAACCGAGGGTGATGTGCGGACTGACAAAGACCAAGGGAGAGCAGGCAGGGTGTGTTGGAGTCACTTGGGCTGCAGGCAGTGCTTTCCCTTGATTTCTGTCAAGCCTCTGCCTGTGGTTGTATCTTCAGTTCGTTAACAAAGTTACAGGCTTTACTAATTGCTCTTTAGTTTACTGAAGATGACTGCAACTGTTCAGATGTGCATTCAGAGACTAACATGGTTTTTCCCAAGGTTATCACAGTGAAATTATTATATATTCCAGGAAAATGTGATGGCCTTTCAGAATATCTTCACGTCTCTCTCACTAACAATCCAACAAACTGCCTTTCTGATGGTGAAGGTTGAATTCTGTGGTAGGAGCTGCTTGTCCTGCGCTTGCTCGGACAGCAGTAGGAAAAAAAAGAGCAGAAACTTATTCTGCACCACCTCTAGAAAAGTTCTTCTGTGCATTCAGATCAGCCAAGGGTTTATTGCCTCCAAACTTAGAGCACTTAAAGAAAGTGGTGTGATTATCCACATCCTTCCCTACAGAAAATCTTGCTCTCTAACGTTGTAGAGCAACATTTGGTGCTGTTGGGACCAGGCAAATTATGAGCAGCTCCTCTGATTCTCTCAATTTTAAAGTTAGGACAGATTATTACCCCCAAATTCCAGTGGGGAAACCCCAAACTGCTAAGCTAAGCTAGATGTAAGTCTCTGGCATGTGGCTGGCAGAGCAAAACCCAAAAATCAGGAATAAACCTTTCCCATTTTCTCCTTAATAACATTTTTCTACCATTTGGATCACCTGGTGAGTAAACAGAGGTGGCATTTGTGTTGTGGCACTTCCCTCCCTGGCAATTGATAGGGTATTTTATTTCAGCTGCCTGTTTTCTTGAAATTTGTAGAAACTGTGCTTCTGAGACAAGATGCTCTCCCTCCGTTAAATTTAATTTAAATTTGTTAACAGTTCTGTGGAGGAAATTACCCCATATGTGCCTAAGAGTGATCTCCTCAGCCTTATTTCCATTAAAAAGCAGGGTAAACTGATCTCATATTGACTTTTTAGTCCCACTTATTCTGACACCCCCCCCCACCAAAGAAGTAGAGAAGTCTGCCACCTTTCAGGCATTTTTATACTCCAAGAAGATGAAAATAGACATTTTCAAAATGTCCCTGGCCAAAGGAAGAATAAAATAAGCTGCCGTCCCCACTGATATTTTTCAGTAGCCCAGCTTAAACTACTGTTTCTGATAAGGGTACAGCTGGGCCAGCTCTAGTTTTGGGTTTAAAAGGAGCTGGGCTCATTTTCTTAATCTCTTTGTGGTTTTGATGCCAACACATACTGAACTTTTTCACAAAGAAGCACTCAATCAAACATGCGGACCTGTTTCAAAGAACACAATGTTTTCTGTACTTTCAGAGGGAAGATTTATTTTATCTTGGTCAGTATTGGTCTCTGGAGTCAGTGACCCTTCTTTTTCCACCTCATCTGAAGTGAGCCACCGGCTGGGAATCCAGGGCAAAGCACCCAAACTTCCCAAGGCCACCACGAGCACCACAGTGACACCAGGAAAGAGCATTTTTGAAACAGTGGCCAAAGGTGCTGTGGGAATGGGAGCGGATCCGTCCCCTCCCTCAGTGAGCCCAAGGCTCAGGCAATAAAATTGGCACAGCACTGAAGCCTCCATGAAAGAGCAGCTGCCTTTGCTCCCCCAGCCACCTCACACTCCCACTAAACCGGCTGTGGACACACTTTGGCACTGCCAGCCCTCTTGTTCCTGAAATAAACCATGTGCTCCTGGTAAAGCAGGCAGCATCTTGCCCTCTTCCATGGTGGCTGCAGGGGCACTGCAGCTGGACAGGGCAAGGGGCACATTCTCTTCCACTGCACTGATGTGCTGGGAGGGGCACAGACACTTTGCAACAAACTCCCCTTGCTATTTCTCTTGGTATAAACTGCTCTCAAAGCTGGAATTCCCTTCCTGAGGGCCTCTCCTCAAAAGATCCTGCAGGATTAGGCAGTAACCACTCAGGCTTCCTGCACGGTGGTTGTGTAAAAGGAGCCACGTTCTAATATCTGCACAGGTCCAGTCACCAGGACATTCTCTGGAGGCTTTGCCCAGCCCCTCCCTCATCCCTGCTGCCATACCCTGTTAGGAGGCTCCCAAGACCTTTAACAAATTGGCACTTGGAGTCCTCTCTCTGAAAGGAGAAATGTAATGGATCAAACGGCACACCTTTACTAGAGATGATGCTGTGCTTTATTTCTGCCATGCAGAATGCACGTGACAGAATTACTCTGCTGTGCCCACAGACTCCATCGTCATTGACTTTTAGGTTGGCCTTGCTGCGTTTGTGACATTTCTTTTCATTATTTTGCTGTGTATGTCCTGCTCCGGATCAACGCCAGCAAAGTATAACCAGAGATGAAGTAAGCGAAAAAATAACCTGTAGGAAACATGCACTGCCTCCAGTGGCCCAGCAATGACACATAACGTTTGTAACTGCACAGAGGGGAAACTTCTTCTGTCAGTATTTGGTCAGAGTGTCTCTTGACCCACTGCTTCTCCTTATCTGATCAGAAAACTCAGCTCAGCAGGCTGGGTAGACATTCAGGATTAGGTCACAAACAAGCAGAGGGAAACAGCAGTCAAAGGGAGCACTAATATTCTCATTTATTGCCACCCTAGGGCCTCTGGCATAATCACAAAAAGTAACAAAAACAATTTAAAAAGGCAGTTTACCCCCCCAAATAAATCACAAAGCAGGAGTTGGACTAACAACACACAGACATGGAAATGGAAGTGAAATTGCAGGGCAAGAGGCATGTTGACAAAAATTTTCTGTTCCTAAAAAACTGGCAGGAGAAGACTGTGTACTTGAAAATTGCAGAGTACTTGCAAGACTTAAACAAAGTATTCATTTTTAAAGCTTTTTTCATTTTTTCATCATGTTACTGAGCAAAATACTTGGCTTAAAAATACACATATTTATCCCTCTTGTATTCAATTTTAGCCATCAAAGGGGCCATTGTGAACAAGGCAGGTCTAGAAATGTTTACTGTGAGAAAACAATTTTACAACTGAAAAAAATTTCACTCAGTACTGTGAGAAAACAATTTTAGGACTGAAGAAACTATTAAACCCAGTCACACACAAAACTTGTCCTTTTTGGTTGAGTTCTCTTTGTTTTTTAAGCCCCACTTCAATTCCAGTTCTCCCAATTCCAGCACCGAAACCCAGTGGAGTGCTTGAAAGGAGCCACTAGTGTAAACTTGCACCCTCTTCCCTGTCATCCTCTCTGTTGTGTCCCCCACCCACTGCCCTTGGCATGACAATCATCCAATATCTCTGTGGAAACCTCACGTTTCTTTTCTTATGATAATCCCAATACAATCACCCAACAAATGCATGCTCACATCCCGATAGGGGCTGGAAACTTTTACCTTCATTGTTTCTCTGCTCATCCATCTCTGTCAAGCCCAGGGAGATGCAGGACTCCCTGTGCTCTCCCAGCTCACCCATGGCGTGGTGAGAGGATGCAGCTTCTCTGGGCACCCTGTGCCAGGACCTGTCTGTGGAGTTGTGTTTTTATGTTTTATTGTATTTTCATTCTCTAATGGTTCATTCCTGTGTATCCCCCCGTATTCCCTTTGGTTTCTCCTGCCTTAGCTCATGTGTCCATCACCCTAAACCTGATGAGTCGTTCCCCTCCCCCCTCCCAGGTGCGTTGTCTGTCACTCGGCGTACCTTCCCATCTATCTGGAAGCTTCCACAGAGGGCGTCGGGTGATTGGACAAGGGCCTGGAGTCCTTCCCTTGGTCCTCCCTAACTGGATCCCTTGTCTGTCTATCCTTGAGAGAGCTACTCCCATGTTCTTCCCTATTGGCTGGTTGGATTTCCCTTCCCTCCCTTTAAATGTTACTGTTTCAGAGCACTCTCTACCTCTCTTCTGCAGGAGCTGTTCATGTTTGGTTGGCGTGTGAGGCTCTCCCTCACAGTCTGAATAAATTTGGATTAATCCCCAGGAGCGTGATGCCTTGTTACTGCTGCTGGGATCAGCTGCCTTTTGACCCACAAAGGCACTCCCTAAAGCCTGCAAGGGTCCAGTGGGGAGTGCCTCTCGCTGTCCGTCCACCCGCCCCTGGTGGAGCTAGCCAGGGCTGGTTGGAGGTCATCTACAGCAGAGTGGGGATGAGATGTGGCACTGTCCATTCTCACAGCCAGGAATTCCTTCCCAGTATCCCATCCAGCCCTGCCCTCTGGCAGTGGGAAGCCATTCCCTGTGTCCTGTCCCTCCATACCTTGTCCCCAGTCCCTCTCCAGCTCTCCTGGAGCCCCTTCAGGCCCTGGAGGGGGCTCTGAGCTCTCCCTGGATCCTTCTCCTCTCTAGGTGAGCACCTGCAGCTCTCCCAGCCTGGCTCCAGAGTAGAGGGTCTCTACCCTTCAGAGCACCTCCATGGCCTCCTCTGCACTTGTTCCAACAGCTCCACATACTGCTTTGTGCTGGAGACCAGGTCTGGGGCAGCTCTGCAGGTGGGGTCTCACCTGACTGGGAGAGAGAGGCAGAATCCCCCCCATTCCCCTACCTCTTTTGATGCAGCGTTGATGCAATTTTGGCTGTGCATGACACCCATCTCTTCCCCCACTGCACAACACCAAGGGTTAACACCTGGCAAGGGCCCTCTGCCCTCTGGAGCAGAGTCCTTTGTTCTTACCTGCACATCTGCACACAAACCAGGTGCTGCCACAGTGCCTTCCAAAGGCCAGTGCAACAGCTCTCTCTACTTAGGCCACAGTGGAATCCTGAGACACTGAGGTCCTGGACTGGAATCCATGATCCGATTGCAGCACACACTTCTCTGCAATACTGAGTGATTTGGTGCCAGCTTTGATGGGTGACTTCAGGAGAGCGGGGAAGACTGATGCCTGTACAAGCCCTGCATGAGGTGTCCATGTCCCAGTCCTTCTTGTCAGCACTGCACGATCCCACAGAAATAACACAAAAGGTCTGGAACACAGGACCACTGATTTCAAACCCATCTGCCTGCTGAGGCAGCTGATGATCACACTGCTGTGGTGCAGAGCATTAACATTTGCTTCAATTACATGTATTAACATCCAAAATTACACAGAAAAATATGGGTTTGTGGCCAGAGACGGTTCCTGGCTAAGGCTCAATTTTCACACAGTGGAAAGAGGACGGGGCCAGCTCCTTCCAGGTGTCCAATGCATTTCACTGGAGGCTGTGCGTTCCTGATAGCCATGCACAACACAATTCTTCTGGTTATCACCTTCCTACCAGACGGTGTAATGTTGGAGAGAAACCCAAGCTGGATGCCCAGAGAGTTGGAAGATCTGCATGTCTCATCCCTCATCCCTGTTTCTTGTTCTCAGAGATGCTCAGTCCAGGGTCCTGGGGCTCCCTGCTGGCTCCAGACAGATCTCTTACCATAAGGAACTCCATTCAGTATTTGGATGTGGTGCATGAGCACCCTTATACTAAATTACAGATATGCAGCTGCCTTCATCCTTCCAATCACACCTCCCTCAGAAAATGATACCAAATATTGCCACTGCACTTGTTTTTGTCCAAACCCACAGAGTCAGGAATTGGCTTTCCTGTCCTTTGAAAGACTTTTTCAGTTGTGTCTTATCTCAGCTCCAGTTCTGTGATTTTGCCTGGGCTGAGGTCAGTCGCAGCACTGCCTGAGAGTGACCTGCCCTGACCAGGTGGGTCTCTGGGTACTGGGGCACTATAACTCTTCCAGCCTCCTCTCTGCTGTTCCAGGGGTGCTTAACAGCTAACAGAGCTGGCCAGAGCTCTCTTCAGACAGTCCCCAGGTCCCTGGGATGCATGTTCTCCAGCTGATTTTAAAATATGGATAGCTGGCTGGTGGTATTTGGCTGCTTGATAGACAGGAAAGAAAACATCCTCTTTTGGTAAGAATTAATTTTGTCTTCCTTCTGTCAAACAAAGAGGAACAATGTCTTGAATACACCTGCAGCATAGAAAGAAAATTCCAAACCTGCCTGCCTGTGCTGGGCCTGCTGCTGAGACATATGCACAAACAGTCTTTTTGGTTCTTCAAAAAGATAAAAATGCCTGTAATAAACATTACATAAGTAATTTTGTCTCTCAAACTGTTCAAGAAAAGGGAAATTGGAACTTTAATGTTCCACTGAGAGATGTTGAATCAAATCTTCCCCGAGTTTGAACCCAGTAATAAAATACGGATTTTTTTGACCAAGGTAGGTCTATATAAGAACAGCTCAGGAGGCTCTCACAGCTCACAGTGATGAGGACAGAACACAGAAAAATGTTAAAGGTGAAGTGTTAGTCCCCTGAATTAATGTCCTGATGGAGCCAATTTTTTTTGCAAAGAGACATAACAGTTTCTTCCCCTTGTTTCTGAGTCTCTGTGTCACCCTCTAACTCATAATCTGCACTAGTGCGGATCAATCTGATATGGATAAGCAACATATCCAGCTCCTGTTCTCCAAGCCACATGTCTCAAATGTAAATGGCAGTCATGAATACAGAAACAGCTGCGGAAGAAAGAGGAGAGAAAAATCAGAACAGATATGTTTCTATTTCCCCACAGGATTACCAAGCCAAGCTGCTTGGTACCTCCAGGACTATGCTTTAAAAGAGTCCCCTAACTCTTTTCCTAGCTGGAAAATCTGGAGTGGCTTTGTGCATGCAAAGCCAATGATCCTATTCACAAGAAGGAAGAAACCAGTTTCCTGTTAAATAAAGCAGCTGGAAATCTGACATGTCAGATGCTCCCACTGACCAGTAATATGGAACAGCATCCGGGCCCATGTGAAGCTGGGGTTTTGCAGACTGTTCCCCCTCTGTCATGGTTTGACACTGGCACAATGCCAGTGCCCCCATGAAAAAAAAATCCCTACCTTGAATGCTGTGAAGTGGAATCAAAAAAAGAGCAAAGCAGGCCCAAGCTTAATAACAGGAAAAAAA